GGAAGTTCGAGAGACATCACTGCCGCACGGAAGACCTGCTCAGCTGCCTGATCCAAAATGCCAATGCTACGACAAGAAAGCTTCGCCATGGAGCCCCCAGAGCTTGCCTTTCCAAAATGCTCCGAGTTGAACGGACAAGCACAAAAGTTTAGAAAAGGTCATAGCTTCCACCAAATGCGAGCAATCGCATTAGACCTGGACAGCCTCACTTATATGATGTAGCCCATGCCAGTATCAGGTACCTTGAAATCACATTGTCTATCATATCGGCTCATGACAGGCTCTCGGCTACTGAAAAAGAGCTCAGCAATGGTCGAGACTGCGGAACAAACGCGGTTGGAGAAATTCCACAGTTCCGCCCGATTTACCTTTCTATCTACGGCAGTAAACAATACTGGAATTTACTGTTTGCAGATGGCGCTCGTCCAGAACTGACTCGGATATGTACCTCGGGACTGTCAAAGATCATGAATAAATAGCCAGGCATTCGCCCTTGACATAGCGTTGATGTAGTTCCTCGATCGCGTGAGCAGTATCACTGAGAGGCACGAATTGTTCTTGCGTCTAACACCATCCTTCTTGTGTTTCAGTCAAAATGACTGTCTGGGATCCAGATTCCAACAGTTTACCAAAGCTAGAAGAGTTGCCAGCCATCGAGGGCGCTCCCCATTATGCAGCTTGGTTCTGGGGCAAGGACGATGAGGCAAGCTCAATCTCGCAGCCAACTTGCATCCAGACTGCTAACAGCAATGTTCAGCTGGGTCGACTGAATCTCCTCACGCCAAAGAGAATCGCCAAAGCTGCGTCTCTGATCCAAACTGGCGAATCTGCGGGCTTGAAGTCAGTCAAATTCCATCGAAACCGTCTCACTCTTCTTTGGCTGATTTCCTCGTCATCAGTTTCCCCGCAGGGTTACCCTATCCTACATTTTTTGGACGTGAACCCTTCAAGCACACGCTCAAGCAAGTGAATCCAAGAGCTTATGACGATCTGTATTCCTTGAACACGCAAAGCAGTTCGCAGTGGGATGGATTTCGCCATGTATGAGACAGGCCGAACCTCGATCTCCCGGATCACTCTTTACTGACAATGATTCCAGGTTGGACATGATCTCGGCGGAGGCTATATCTGGTACAATCACGTATGGCTCCCTCTTCATTCACGAAACCTAAATCATGCCTGACTTGTGTTCAGACCACTCGAGAACAAATAACAAACTCAAGCAAAAATGGCATCCACGCCTGGTCCAAGAAAGGAATTGGTAAGCACAATATACCATTTCGAGCAGTCACCCTGCTGATGCAAGGTCCAGTTGGGCGAGGCGTCTTGCTCGACTTCTACTCCTTCTCTGGACAGTCCTACCATCCTTTCGATCATCGACACATCTCAGCGCAGGAACTCAAAGCTTGTGCCAAAGCCCAAAATGTCACGTTCGAATACGGCGATGTCCTGATCGTCCGCACTGGTTGGTCTGATGCCTACAAGATGCTGGATCAAAAGGGGCGAGAAGAGCTCGGAGCAAAAGGCTATCTGGAGATCACCTTCGCAGGGCTGGACCGTTCGAGAGAAACGATAGAGATGCTACACGACAACTATTTCAGTGCTGTTGCCAGCGATGCTCCAGCTTTTGAATCCTGGCCTATGGACGACCCAGAGCACTTGCACCATTTCTTGCTCCCACTTTGGGGTGTTCCGATCGGTGAAATGTGGGATCTGGATCGACTCGCTGAGCTGTGTAAGAAACACAACAGATACACATTTTTCCTCACCAGCAGTCCGGCGAACGTTGAAGGTCAGTCATCTTCTGAGAGTCACATTATTCTGAACTGCAATCTTTCTGACAAAAACAACAGGAGGCGTTGGTAGCTCCCCGAATGCCATCGCCATATTTTGACCTGGCTCATAAACATCACACTTAGATACCGAAACGAGGGAGATTTGGATTGTGATAGAGAGGAAATCAGTGTAGCTAGACATTTCGTCACCCTTCCCTATCCTCACAGTGTTCTTCAACAATTGACTGTTCGTGATCGTCTCCTTTCCCGATAATCTTCTGGACCGTGACCGCAATCCCAGTTCCTTGCTGAGAGAGAGTGGCCAGATCTTCGTCGCCAAACAGTATCGCAATCTCTTCCAAGCTCTTCCCGCGGGTGTCAGGGTAGTAGAAATAGATGATGGCTGAGAAGATGACAGTCATGATGATGAAGATCAGGAAGAACCGCCATCCGATGTCGGCGATGGCCGTTGCCCCTGACTGCGCCCAGAGGATACTTGTCCACATGAACGTCGACGATTGTAGCGACATTCCCTTTGCGCGGAGATGAGTAGGGAAGAACTCTGAGCTGTAATAGTAGAAAGGCCCCTCGACCGTGCCAGAGTAGGTTGCCACGTAGAGGAACATCATTGCCACCGCAGCAATTTTGCCCGACGCATTGTTCACGTGAATGTAAGTCGACGTCAGCCCGGTATAGGCGGAGAGTATAATGGCAAGCATCATCATACCCATGGCCACGAGGGTAGGACGGCGGAACTTCTCGGTGTAGAACACGCAGCTGAAGGTGAATGGCAGGTTGGTCAGCTGCATCCCTGCCTGCAGAAGAAGCTGTTTCTCGGAGGAAAAGCCCAGCTGCGAGTAGAGGACGGTGGAGTAGATAGCAATAATCGAGGCGCCCGTGGCTTGAAGCGCGAAGGTGAGGAAGATGGCCATCAAGCTTCGTTTCCGGTACGACGGTCTCCGGAACATTTCGACCCATGAGGAAGACAAAGTCTTGTTGAGTTCCGTCTGAGTCTGCATCTGAGATATCTCGGCGTTGATAAAGAGTTCGTCGGCCTCGTTGTCGTTAGAGTGGAATTTGCGCACAATCTCGCGAGCCTCCGAGTCGCGTCCCTTCATTAGGAGAAAGCGAGGTGATTCTGGGAGCCACCAGAGTGCCACCAGTAGGGGAATGCATGGTACAATGCCAATTGCCAGTGGCCCGCGCCACGCAGTTCCTGATTTGGAGACATGTAAGAAGAAACCCACTCCTACGTAACCCGCAAGAGTCTGACCAAGGTTGACAGCCACTCCGTGAAACTGGGTAAATGAACCGCGAACCTCAGGCGGCACCGTTTCCAGGATCCATAGTGGGACGGAGATGGACAACATGATTGCGCCCCAACCCGTCCAAAAGCGGAAGACGATGAACATGCCAATGTTGACCGAGCCAGCAGCTAGGGCAGCAGAGGCACAGACGATCAGTGCGCCTACCAGAATGACGATCTTCCGACCCCAGCGGTCCCCGACCCAGAAGCTGAAGAAGGATCCGAAGAAGCCACCAGCGAAGAATAGGGACGTGGTAGCACCGATGATGGCCGACTCATTCTTCTTGTCTGTCAACTTCATGTACGAGTAGAATGAGGGCTGTCCAAGTGTAGTGGCGATGACGCCCAAGTTGTAGGCATATGTGATAGAGCCGAAGCACATGAGTGCCACAATGAGCACCGTCGAGGCTCGAAAGTGTCGCTGCCCCCTGGAGCTAAGGCTCTCAAGGCGAACGAACTGCTCCGTGGTGCTGGACATGTCGCTAAGCAAGGAAGTTGGTTCTAAGACCTTTGAGTCGGTAAGCTGGAGCGGATTCAAGATGCTGGTCCTCATTGCCACATGTATCAGACTCGAATGGATGAACCAGGTGGGCAATGTGGATCGAAATTATACCTGCAATGGGGGCGGAATTAGGAAACTCCCTTGATCTTCCTGCATCAACCATTTCAGCAAGAAATAAAACGGCTCGCGAGTTCCGCCGCACCTGACCTCCATTATCAAGCAAAGACACGGCATAGTCTGGGGAAGGACACTCTGCTGCATCAGCTGGAGAATCAGGACTAGTAGGACCCTTGGAATCAAATGTGGTGAGAGGGATCTGCAACATCGAGGCGATAGACAAGGTGGAATTGTACGGTTAGAACGGCAATGCGGTAAGATCTGCATGTGCCCTATCCATGTGCCTACTACAGCTTGATCCGGAACCATGGCTCGACACTGAAGCAGAGTTGCTGTGTGTTGGGCTGGTCAGAGGCCCGACGGAACGAAGTTGCGGTTTGAGAGCGAAGCTTTTAACCGCCAGTTTCTAGCAAACGTTAAATTGAACCTTTGCTAGCAATAATCGATTAGTTAGGTGTTGAGGACATTCATGGAGCAGAACCCAATCACCACCAAGGCAATCGAAGGCTCCAAATTCTGAGATTTACTACAATCCACGAGGTTCAGGATGGGAAAGCAACTTCGATTCGATGGTTGAGTTTCCATTATCACTGGCGGAGCTAGTGGTATTGGCCGTACCCATGCCATGTTGCTTGCATCACGGGGCGCTTTGGTCGTTGTTAACGATCTGCCAGACAAGGTTGAACAGACCCAAGCTGTTGTAAGTGAGATCAAGCAGGTTGGCGGACGCGCCGCTGTTGTAACAGGAGGAGTCGGTGTCGATGAAGACGCACGGACAATCGAAATGTTCAACCGCATCGATATTGTCATAACAACGCCAGGATCTCGGGTGGAGGAAACCCAGCCGACACACTCGTTCAAAAAACGCCCGGAGATGGGTTCGAGCGGTTTTTCAGCGTCAATGTCCGCGGACCTCTGCAGCTAAACCGTGCCGCTTGGGCCGCACATGGTGAAGCAAGGGTACGGCCGGATCCTGTTGACGAGCTCTGCTAATGGGATTGGATGGATGCGCGGTCCTCATGGGTACGAGGCAGACTATGCCAGTGCCAAAGCGGCTGTGATCACGATGGGCATACAGACCCGCCGGAGCTGGTGGCGAACATGGTATAACTTGCAACACATTGATGCCGTGGGCTTATACGCGCATGGTCGAGGAGACCCTCGAGGGCTCAGAGCTGGGAACCTGGATGCAGCAGAATCTCCGCGCTGAGCAAGTCGCTGTAGGCGTTCTTCCTGTTCTGCAATAGGACTTTAGAGTGACTGGAGAAGTTTTTTCTGTGCAGGGTAGACGCGTCGCGGGATGTTTCACCCTGACCTGACACCAGAGGACGTGGCTGAGAACTGGGACAGCATTTTGGGGGAAACTGGGGACGGGGGACAGCTTCTGGATGTGTTCGAGCAAAGTCAACCGCGCGAAGAACGTCTGATTGAGGCCATGCTGGAGGAGGGTAAGATCCCGGAGCTCACCTGGTTGGCGCAACAGCCAGTTCAAGATTCCAATATGGTGTCGATGAAGCAATAGTAAAATGTAGAATGCCAGATACACGACGTGGAGGAAATTTGTTCATATGCCGCTAGTTCCAGGATGGAATAGGGTGCAAATCTAGGTGAGGGAAGAGTAAGCTTAATAGCCTAAATTGAGCACTGCTTTAATGACCGGTTGCAAAACTTACAAGCACAAGGAGCCCCGAGGGCCCCCGAAAATTAGGGCAGACATCACGTGCATGCTGGGCCGCTTAGGCGGGCGCCCACAAAGACTCACCTGAGCGCGGGGGCTGCTTAGGCGGAGCAATGGCAGGTGTGCCGCCTAAACCTGGAAATCTAGGGCCGATGGGCGATCGCGTTTTCCGTTCTTCGGCACCGTACATTCTTCCGAATAATTATCTGAATGCTGGAATGACGAGCCGCGCAACAGTAGCGATGGTGTTCAACGCTATTGACATGAAGATCCTGGCCAGTGAAAGGTACAAGTACATTCCCCCTTGATCTTTCGATTCTCTGAACGGTCAGACTCTTGTGAAAGAAGCTGTCGAAGAACTACCAGAACCTGAATACGACACCTTTACGAAAAGACAGCCATGGCTCCTCTCCCGAACCTTCCAATGAACAATCCCAGATCAGATTCTGAAGCCGCTGCGCGGGATTGTGGCTGGGTGACTGTGAACGATCGAGGGTATTCAATACTGGAAAAGCCTCATGGTCTTCCTCGTCCCAAGCGCGTCATCGTAATCGGGGCCGGGGCGACTGGCATCTGCATGGCAAAATTCTCGGAGAGATTGGCAAATCTTGACTTACAGATATACGAGAAGAATGACGACGTCGCGGGAACATGGTGGGAGAACAAGTATCCTGGCTGCGGTTGCGATATTCCAGCTCATATCTACCAATTCAAGTGGGCTATGAATCCCAACTGGTCTCGCTATTACTCCTCGGCCGAGGAGATCCTTAATTACTTCAAAACCGTCGTCGACTCCCACGGGTTACAAAAATACATCAAGCTGCGACACAGGGTTGTCCATGCCAGTTGGAACTCCGAAACCGCAAAATGGGAAGTCCAAGTCCAAGGTCCTGACGGCAATATCTTTAAAGATGAAGGCGACTTTTTAGTCAATGCTTGTGGTCTATTAAACAATTGGAAATGGCCAGAAATTAAAGGGCTACATAGCTTCAAAGGCAAGCTCCTCCACTCCGCAGCTTGGGACGAGTCTACCGATCTTGATGGGAAACGAGTAGCCGTCTTAGGCGCTGGTTCATCTGGCGTCCAAATTGTTGCGAATATCCAACCAATCGTCAAGCAGCTCTATACCTGGATACGGTCTCCCATTTGGATTAGTATAGGATTCGCGTCCAGATACGCCGGGCCGGATGGTCTAAATTTCAAGTACGGAGAGGATGTCAAGGAAAGATTCTCGTCCGACCCTACTAAACATCTTCGATATGTTAAAATGGTAGAGGCGGAGCTTGGACTACGATTTTACTTCAACTTTATCAACACGAAAGACGCTCATATAGCAGAAGACTTTTCACGCAAGGAGATGGAGAAAAAACTGTATAAACGGCCAGACCTGATTGAAAAGATTATCCCCACTACGTATGGACCTGGATGCCGTCGCCCAACACCTGGAAATGGATACCTAGAAGCCCTTATGGAGCCAAACGTGATAACCTACACGAAAGACCTTCTGGAGGTGACCCCCACCGGCTTCGTTAATAGCGACAAGAACTATCATGAAGTCGATATCATTATCTGCGCCACAGGATTCGATACTTCCTACGTTCCACGATTTCCAGTCCTTGCAAATGGAAAAGATTTACGAGAAGAATGGGCAATAGATCCGGTTTCATATTTATCAGTTATGATCCCAGACTTTCCAAACTACTTCGTCTCTCTAGGGCCATACAGTGCTACCAACGGTTCACTTATACCTGCGATTGAGCATGGGTGTGAGTATATGCTTAAGATTATTGATAAATGCCAGATCGAGCATATACGATCGATTGCACCTAAGGCCGACGTTACCGCTGAATTCCGGGAACACTCGGATCTCTTCTTGAAGAGAACTGTATGGAACCAGAAATGTCGCAGTTGGTATAAGGGTGGCACCATCGACGGCCTTCCTCGTCTATATCCTTCGTCGAGAGCCCACTTTATGGAGACGATGCAACCACGCTACGAGGATTTTGAGATCAAATATGAGAACATGAATCGTTTTTACTTCTGGGGAAATGGATTCACGGTCCGAGAGCTGGATGGTAGAGATCCTACCTGGTATTTGGGCATTGTGGATGGGGAGGACCGACAACCAGATTACACAGAAGACGAAGAGGCGGTCAGGATTTCAGCAAAGCTCGAGGTATAGGATTCGCCATCTGGATTTGTGACAAGAATACTAAGTAGATCACTGGAGCCTAGGAGTTGATCTAGACATTTATCTATGATTTATCAGTTCTTGCGCAGTGACTGCACAATAAGCACAGTATCAACCCATGGCCGGGACTACAACAACTCCAAGTGGCTTTCACAACTCGTGTTGCCATTTTCCCTTCCACGTCGGAATGTCCTGGCGTATTTCCTGGTGTATTACCTGACAGACTCTGGCGGGAGGCATTCCTTGACAATGACAGACTCCAACAGTGACAGCCCGGAAAACAAAGTGCGACAATGCCCCCCAAATGGAACGGTTCCGCGCCGTGTGAGCATGTCATCGCGTATGTGGGGAAGAGTTTCGGCTGTGCACGCTCGCGACCCCAAGTACGCGATTCTTGATTCGTTTCCACAAACACTCGGCTTGCGCGAAGTACTTATGCAAGTTCAAGTCGACCTTTGTGCAGGCTTTTGACCGACAAGTGGCATTAGAACATTCTACCATCTTTTGAGTCCCATCTGTCCTCAATTTTGTCGAAAAGTTGGACTTCTTCTTGACGTAATTTATTGCTCTGGACCCAGACACACCTTGTACATGATGGCATCTCTAACGGGCAAGGTCATCGCCATCACTGGCGCTGGTGGAGGCATCGGATCAGTCACCGCTGAACTCTTAGCGTCCAGAGGAGCAAGTCTCTCTTTGATTGACATGGACCTCAAGGCCTTGGAAGAAGTGGCCGAAACAATTCGCGCCAAGCATAAAACGGATGTCATGACAACTAGAGTGAACGTCACAAGTTCCGAGCAAGTTGACGACTGGATTGCATCGACTGTCAAACACTTCGGAAAACTGTCGGGAGCCGTCAACCTAGCAGGAACTCTCGGGAAGGAGATGGGCTTGAAGGCCGCTCACGAAGTATCAGACGAAGACTTCGATTTCGTGATGGCCATCAATGTGAGAGGGGTCATGGCATGTCAGCGTGCTCAAATCAGGAGCATCGAAGATGGAGGGTCAATTGTCAATGCCACCAGTGTGGCAGGCAAGATCGGGATTGCCAATCTGTTGGCTTACGGCACCAGCAAACATGCTGTCATCGGCTTGACCAGGATTGCTGCGGCGGAAAATGGTCACCGCAATGTGAGGGTGAACGCAGTCGCCCCGTGCGTCCTCTTCTTCTAGACTTCAGAATATTCACTGCTAATCTACCTACTAATCCAGCGGGACCATCGACACGCAGATGATTACTGCAGCTCAGGAGGTAAACATGCCCGGCAGTGACAAGCCCCGCGCCCCAATACAAAGGTTGGGAACGCCAATGGAAGTTGCGACGTTGATTGCGTATTTGCTGAGCGATGAATCCACATACACAACCGGGGCAGTCCATACAATCGACGGCGGCATGACTGCATAAGGGTGATTTGGTTCGACTTCAGAATTAACAGAAGGCATGTGGTGGAGTGATGCACCTTCGTGATTCATCCACTTTTCATTAGCCGATATCAAAGTCACCTCCTGCTCTCACTATAGCGGCTGTGGAACCTCACTCTTATTGGTTTACCTTATTTCAAATTCAAAGACGCATAGTGAAAGAAGTACTTGGGTAAGGTTCATGTTGTTGGCGGAATTCAAGTGCCTATGGCACCGCCCAAGGAGTGATCAGGTACCGGTTTGTGGCATGCCCCACGCAGAGCTTTTGGCTTTGCCCATGCATTGTCATATGCATGAGGAGAGCTACGCTCAGGCAAGAACCGCTCATTGTGTGCGAAAAGGAGTCCATGGTCGTCCTTATCTCCATTGTTATCCAGACGTGGATTTGAATACTACGGTATGCATAATTTATGAAATATTGTGTCGAGCCACGAAGGAGCTATTCAACAGCCACACATATCGTATCTGAGTGGCGGAATACATTTTCTTCTATCCTCATCAGTGGAATCCCACCAGACTCAATCTAGGAATCAGCCGCTTACGAAAATGGTTTGGCAGCTCGAGGGCCAAGTCGCCATTGTGACTGGGTGTGCATCAGGCATCGGACTCACTACAACGAGGCTCTACCTTGAAGCTGGGGCGACAGTTTTTGGCATCAACATCTCCCCCTTTCCCGATCCATCTCCTCTTTCAGAAGAGATCTCTGCAAATTTCCACTTCCACAGAGCTGATTTGACCGCTCCTGGCGCCTGCGATGAGTCAGCGGCGGCTTGTGTGTCAAAGACCGGGAGGAAGGTTGATGTTCTTGCCAACGTCGCCGGCATCATGGACGCATTTGAGGCTATCCATAACCTCAAGGATACGACTTGGGAGAGTAGTGATGAGTGTCAATACAACAGTACCCATGAGACTGATGAGAGCTACTTTGACTACTGGAGGAATGCTCGAACAAAAGTCGGGCCGAATTATGAACGTTGCCAGTGAAGCTGGTATCAGTGGAGCAGTAGCAGGCATTGCCTATACCGCCAGTAAACATGCCGTTGTAAGTACTTCTTTATGGACCACCTGCGGACACTCTTTACGGCGAGATTTATATGAGCAAAATCGTGGTAGAACAGATGCTGACCGTTTTCCAAACTTCAGATCGGCATGACCTAAAATGCAGCCTTTCGCTATCGTCACGAAGGCATTCGTTGTGACGCTATTTGTCCGGGCGGTTTGGAAATATCCAACCCACTTTGCGCAAGTATACCTTTTTTCTGACCTGGACCTACAGGAGTGGCGACTATCAGACCAACGATCTAACTGAAGGGTGAATGCGATACTTGGGATCAATAGATGATAGATAACTAGCCTATAGATACCGATGTCAACGCTTGAAGAAGGCTTCAAGGTTGACAGGTGAGCTGTGCCCGTTGCTATATACATGCGAAAACCGTGCTGAGTCAGTACTGGCTAACTCAGGGTCTCTCTCAGTTTCACGTGAAGGTGTTCGTGACAGCTGTGACTCAATTGTCAGGAATGGCTCGCCAGCAAGCTATCTAATAAGTATATTAACTATCTATAGGCGTAGAACGATAGCGATTCCGAAGCTGTAGAGCTTCGAAAGGTGGTCTGTAACCCGCGTGCCTATATATATCTAGCCCCTGAAAGCCTTAGCACCCTGGTCGTGATATCAATGGAGGAACATGATGAATTCTGCAGGGTCCTGGGGCCCGTCTGACTATATACCTTCTAGTAATTAACAAAGGGGTCTCGACGCTAGCAACAGGCATTCGGCCGAAGACTAGCGCGAACAGTCATTACATCTCTTGGCGGTCCGGCCAGTCACACAGCGACCAACATCAAGTCCTCAATCCAGAAAGAGAATCTGGACCAGGAGAGCTTGGAAATCATTGCGTATGCTCGTCGTCCTTGCACTGGCTTTTTATACATGAGAATAGGAAATCTGATCTTCCTGCCACAGGCCGTTTCAACGCCTGAACCAGACGCCCGACGGTTCCACAACCACAACAACAGATGACATGGCAAATGCCATACTATTCCTTTCAACAGAACAATCATGCAACATTAATGGTGTTATTCTACCTGTGGACAACGGCTGGAGCACGTGTTGATGGACATGGAGAGCTTGCTATGAATGGGTTCAGGCAGGAACACCAGAGGATTAGTGGTTAAACATCTTGATCTCATAGACGTCTTTCACTATAGAGAAACTGGAAAGCAGTGAGACGTGAAGAGCGAGAGTCGACGCGAGAATCTGAAAGTGTAGAACTTGCCCCCGCCATTGACCGGCACGACCTATTTACTCTGGTTTGAGAGGCATCGGATTATCCGCCAGCAGACCACCATCGACAGGGAGATTTATGCCCGTGATCTGATCAGCCGCATCCGAAAGAAGGAAGGCAGATGCCTCCGCAATGTCTCTTGCTGTTCCGAACCGCCTCGTGGGTAGTATGCTTGCAATAAAGTCGCGGTCCATATTTTTCGGCAAGATGGGTGTTGCGGTGTGTCCAGGCGAAATGCAGTTCACCCGGATATGATCTGGCCCAACTTCAACAGCGGCGACCTTGGTGGCCTCGATAACTCCTGCCTTGGCTGCCGAATAGTGTGCTAGGAACGCGTGAGGGCGTACTCCAGCAGTACTGGCAATGTTCACAATCGCACATTTGCGGCCTTGGGCGGTTCTTTTTTTCATCGCCATCATTTCGTATTTCATGCAGAATATGACCCCGCCGAGATTCACCGCCAGTACTTTCGAGGTCGCTGCGGGTTCGATGTCGATGATGGAACCGATGCCACCCACAATCCCGGCTGCATTCACAGCCAAGTCCAGGCCGCCAAAGGCATCCTCCACGGATTTGATTGCGGCCTCGACGGAAGCAGGGTCTGAGACATCCACCTTGACACCGATCGTGCCGTTCCCAAGCTCTTTCGCTGAGGAGGCTATTAAAGATGCATTGATGTCCCCTATGGCAACTTTGGCTCCTCCTTCAATCAAGATTTTGGCTGTGGCAAAGCCGATGCCTGAGGCACCACCAGTGACAAAAGCAATTTGTCCGTCAAATAACCCCATGGTGAAAGTTGCTGTTTGGAGCGCGATGATTGATAGGTCTCACTCCGTGGATTTTGGCGACAAAGAAGTATTGAAACCAGTCCAGAGCTCATACGGCTATGCTGGCGAACTTTGGTCGAGGTGAAAACGAGAAAAGTGGTCTTATTACAGTACTGTAACAACGTTTGATATACACATGAAGCAGGCCTCGCTTCAGATTCGGAAAGGCGTAAACCGGAGCTTGAGTTGACCCGAGGCTCCAGGCATCGGCAAGCATTATCCAGCAGCTGCCTGGGGATTATTTCGGGGTACTCCGGAGGAACCATTTTATCACCCCTCTTCTCTCCGCAGGCGCAACACTACGGGGTCGCTGCCCTCTGCCAGTACCCGTAAACTTCCCGGGTATCCTGGCATGGTAACATTAATTCTGCCAACGAGGCTGTCGCGTTGGGGGGTTCAAGTCTGCACTGTGTGGATCATCGAGACAAGATTTGTACAGGCTGCAGAAAAGATTTGGAAGGTGGTCTAAAGCATAATCGTGATTTCATTTCCATTTCGCGAGAACGTTACGCTTCCACGTGATCTCAAGAGTGTGTATTTGAATGGTCCTCTGTGAATATTACCTAGGTACATGAAGACTCCTTTCTAATGCAACACACCAAGGAACACGCTCTATTTCTCATCTACCTCCGGCAATTCTTTGCGCGTGTCGATGATGGGTACAAGTTCACCCTTCTTGTGACCCAATGTCGTGGTAATCTCGTTGGTCATGCGGTCGTCAACATTGATCAGAAGGAAGCTCAGAAGCACTCCAAGGGCGCTGAATGAAATGGTAGCAAGAAAAACGGTGCTGTACGCACTTGCACTTGCATTCTTGTATGCCGTCGTTGCTGTAGCCAAGATGGCCGACGTAAGTCCGGGTACTTGAGCAAATGCTTGCTTGCTCCCACTGGCGAATGCTTCCATAAGGGCTGGTACAGACGAGGCTGGGAGTCCTGCTGCAATCGCGGCGCTGGGTACTCGTGTCCCGATTGTCGTGCGAGAACGCGAGCTGAGGGTAACGGTGTAGATCGTAGCAGTGGAGGTGGCAATGGCAGAGCGCATCGAGGCAGCGATACCTCCGGCGGTGCCAATCTCCTGTTGGTCGTGAATTGAAATTGTCACCAGTGTTTGGACAACCGATTCTGTCCATCCAAAGAAGAAGCAAGCCGAAATCAGCAGAGCTATTGCGCGGTTCTTTGTTTCTGGCGTGCAGGTTGCCATGGCTAGAGATTTACATTAGCCCATTGCTCTACTAATGGCTGGTCGCAGCAACTTACATGCAAGCAATACACCGCCGCAGAAGAAGCAGACTGTCATCTGATACTTAACCTTGCCAATCGGCCTGGCCAAGATACCGCCACAAATCTGCCCCAAGAGTGTGCAGGAGCCAACGATGCACGAGAGGTAGCCACCGTACATGGGATCTCCGTGGTTGTAAAGGACCGAGACCATCATTGGCCACACAATGGCGAACGCGTAGTATGATGCTGACCCGATACCGATGGAAATTGAGGCGGCCACGTATCCTCGGTTCGTCAGAAGATGCTTCGGAATAAGTGGTTGTTTTGGCTTCGCGAGCCAGACCCAGAAGCCCAGCGCAATCAGGCATGCGGCTCCAACAAGAAGAGTCGACAGGGTCTGACGAGATTTCCAGGGAAAAACAGCGTCTCCTCCCATCGACAAGCCCATGAGGAACAACGTGAGGCCAGCTGTGTAGAGCAAAATCCCCACATAGTCAAGCTCTTTGACAAAATCGATTCTGCGCTTTCCGGCATGTTTGTTAGAAAATTCTGGTGGCCAGTAGAATAAGATCCAGCAAAGCAAGGCGACGGCGTTCATGCAGATGAGGAGGTAGTAACAACCCCTCCAGCTGACACCGGGGTAGCGCGTGACAAACGCCTCGGCAATGGCGGGGCCAAATCCTGAGCCAGGAACGCAGAAGAAGTAGAGCATTGAGACCACCCAGAAGCGTGCGCCCATGGGTACCAGCTCTGCCGTGATGTAGCAGAAATTGATTTGGGTACAGGCACCCAGTCCAATCAATATTGTACCGCCAATGAGTGTGTTGATGGACTGAGCTGTGGCGGACACGATGCTACCGAGGAGAGCCAAGACAGTGCCTCCAATGAAGTAGTATCGACGACCGAATATATCCGAGAGCCTACCGATCAGGGTAGAACCGACGGCAGTGCACAGAGTGTAGGCAATCGAGACCCAGGTCAAGTAGGGACTTGGTCCGATGTCAGCGTCGATGACGCTCAGAATGGGTGCGGCCAAGCCAAAGCCGGCGACACCTGCTCCCAAGCCCATACCGATGGCAAAGAGACTGCCAAGGAAGTAGGTACTGCGATAATACCCTGGGGGGACGGTGTCCGTTGTGGCCATGAAGCCATGTAGCTGTTTTTCGTTTGCAACATTTTGAAGTTCGCTGTCGGAGTCGCGGTTGGACAGTTCGAAGTGATTGCTTGCGACGGTTTGATCGTCCTTATTCTTGAATTCTTCCATGATGAGCTGAAAGATGCTTCAGTGGCTTCAGTGGCTTCAGTGTCTTCGCTGAGACTCTGAGACTGTGAGTCTAAGAGACGGTGGGAATTGAAAACGAAGGCACTAGCTTTTACCTCGACACCGAACACGAGAGCCTTGCAGTCCCAGATTTTCCCCGCAGTTGTACTGTCCAGCCTAGATCGTCCCAGACTAAGGAGATAATACGAAGGACGAATGGCAGAATAGTAGTGGAAAATGAAACTCCGCAGTGTGCGGAGAGCGTGGAAATCGTGGAAGTCGTGGAAAGGCGGAAAGGCGGAAAGGCCGGATTGAGGAAAGTGTCGGAGAGTCTATTCTACCATCCCAGTATTTCTATTGGTTTCCAAAAATCTTTGATCGAGAT